AAACCTATCTCTAGGGCCAAGTCTATTGATCTGATCTTATAGTATATTCCATGTCCTTCTGGCTAGATAGATAATTTTATAAGTGGTTTTTTTCTTTTTTTCAGTGGGAAAGCAAATGTATTCTTTCATACTTTTGAGTGTCAGCATTCCAGAGTTTATTGGTTTCAAGCTAAAAACCATTGAATAATTTAAACCCATTGTAAAATAGTATACCCATGGACACTACACTTTAGTATAGTGCACATATATGTAATTTCCATGTTTTAAAGGAGGTTCAGGGTTTACCTGTTTGTCCAGACTTGTTGAATCTGTCTCATTATTCTCTACAATAGTTTGTGGACTGTGAGGCCATTCTGCTTAGTGCAAGCGGAATCTTGTTATACTGAAGTCAGATTTTGCCAACAATTTTCCTCAGTGAATAGCCAAGAGACCCAGTTGGCCACATCCTCTGTTTATGCTGCATTGGAATTTCATGGCAGTAAAACAAAAGGTGTGACTATCCATCACACTCATAAACATTCACTGTGTGCTTTTCCAAGCTTTGTTGGCGTTTGTAATTGTTGGCAGAGCACCAGGGTCATGGATTGCTATCCATCCTTGACCATTACTGTGCATGTGATGGGCATGAGTTGTGTAAAGGGTGGAAATTGTCACCTGTGTAATCAAGGGTATAGAATGAGTCTGATAGAATCTCGCGGTTTGCTTCCCACTGTCATGAATCCTACCTTTCTGGTCCGTGCATCATGCTTAGTCTCTTCAGCTGTGCCTGACTCTTTGCGACCCCATGGACTGTAGCCCCATCCGTGGTCCGTGGGATTCTCCAGGCAAAAGTACTGGAGTGGGTTGCCATTCCCTTCTCCAGGGGATCTTCGCAACTCAGGGATAGAACCTGTGTCTTCTGCCTTACAGACAGATTCTTTACCCACTGCACCACCTGGGAAACCCACCTTTCTGGGGTTTGATCCAAAGTCATACTGGAGGCAAATGCTGTGCTAATCCTCCAGAGGTTCAAGATCAAAGTGATATAGTATCGACTTCCTTTCAGCACGTGGTGGTATGAAGAGCCAGAAATGTAGCACTATCATAGACTAGGAATTAGGAAGTGCCCCAGACATACTCTTCATGGACACAAAGATTTGAAAGCTGTGGCAAATTGCTTTTCTTCCTTAATTTGCTCTTTAGTTAGGAAGAAGACTTTGCCCAACTCAACATTTGTTGTTGTTGTTTTAATTTTATTAATTTATTTAGGCTGTGCTGGGTCTTCATTGCTGCGAAGGTTTTTTTCTAGTTGTGGCAAGTGGGGCTACTCTCTAATTGCAGGGCATAGGCTTCTCACTGTGGCGGCTTCTTGTGGCGAACGGGCCCTAGTGCAAAGATCCTGAGTGCTGCAAATGAGGCCTGGCANACTGAACAAAAACAACCCTACTTTTAAAATAGCTCCTGCAAGTTGAGAAAAGAAAAATCAGACAAGCAAGGCTCTTGTGAGGGGGTTTCCAAGAGGCTAATAAACATCGGAAAGCACAATCTTGTAGAGAATCAGATGTATAAAAAAAGAAGAGTGAGGTAAAAGGGAACGATCACCTCCAGTGTAGGGAAGATTGTGAAATATAATAAAATTTTTTGAAAGTAATCTGATAGTACCTATTAAAATGAAAAAAAGGCTTTTGACATAGTGATTCAACTTTGGAGAATCTATTCTACAGACGGAAAAGAATTATTCAAGTGAAATATGTGTAAGAGTGCTTATTATAACATTGTTTATAACAGAAGAAAACTCAAAGCAATTTTTCATTATTAATAGAGTAGTTGAGGAAATTTTGGCATGTTTATGTTGCAGTTCTTTTGGAAAAAAAAAAAAAAAGAGTTTCTTATATCTGTTGTCCTGAAAATGACTGTTGTATTAAGTGGAAAAGAATGCAAAAGCAAGCAAGCTACAGAGTAAGTTGTATTGTGTGATTGCTCTAAAAAGAAAAAAGAATAAACCTCTATTCAGTGAACAAGCAACCATGAAATAGGAATGTTTAAATGAAAACAGACAGGAGAAGGATGATATATACAAATACTTGTGAATTACCTAAGTCTAGTTTTCTGAAAGGGTCATCAGTCAGCTAAATATTTGACGGTGCATCTTTGGGTTAGATTCCCAGATGGGGGATTGTTGAATCAAAGTGTAAACACATGTGTAATTTTGCTTGCTGCTGTTATTCAGTCGCTAAGTTGTATCCGACTCTTTGCAACCCCATGAACTACAGCACGCCCGGCTTCTCTGTCCTTCACTATCTCCCGGAGTTTGCTCAAACTCATGTCCATTGAGTTGGTGATGCCATCCAACCCTCTCATCCTCTGTCCCCTTCTCCTCTTGCCCTCAATCTTTCCCAGCATCAGGGTCTTTCCCAATAAGTCAGCTCTTTGCAGGTGGCCAAAAACAGGTGGCCAAAGTTTTGCTAGATGTTGCCAAACTCCTTCCAGATTTTGTGCCATTTTGCATTTTTACTGGCAATGATTTGAGAGTATAGAAGGAGTATTATTTTCGCCATGCCACATGGCATGTGGGATCTTAGTTCCCTGACCAGAGCTTGAACCAGGCACCCTGCATTAGGAGCATGGCGTCATAACCACTGGACCATCAGGGAAGTTCCCAGAGGAGTATTTTTAATATCACTGAAGTATAATGATTGCTGCTTTTCTGGGAGTATAAGCATTCTTCTGATTGTTGTTGTTCAGTCACCCAGTCGTGTCCAACTCTTTGCGACCCCATGGACTGCAGCACGCCAGGCCTGCCTGTCCCTCACCATCTTCTGGAGTTTGTTCATGTCCATTGCATTGGTGATGCCATCCAGCCATCTCATCCTCTGATTCTGTCTTTTCCTTCTGCCTTCAGTCTTTCTCAGCATCAGGGTCTTTTCCAATGGGGTTTGCAGCAGGTGACCAAAGTATTGGAGCTTCAGCATCCTTCCGATGAGTATTCAGGGTTCATTTCCTTTAAGATTGACTGGTTTGATCTCCTTGCTGTCCAAGGAACTCTCAAGAGTCTTCTCCAGCACCACAGTTTGAAAGCATCAATTCTTCAGCACTATTCCTTCTTTACCATCTGGCTCTCACAACTGTTCTTTTGATAGAAAATGTCAAAGTCATCACAGGCAGATTACTTTATAGGCAGGGTACTTAATTAAATGGAAACATTGGTGATTCATAGTATGGGGAAGAATGATGGTTGACTTGCTGGCCTGATCTAGTTCTGAGGACCCTTGCTGTCTCTGCAGCTTACCTTAGCCATGCAAAGGGTCTCCTCCCCCTCTCCTTGGTGGGGTGGGAGGTAGTAAGCCTCAGTCTCTCAGCCATCTGCACCACAGACACAGGTTAGGCATATATACTCCATGCAAGGCAGGTTGCTCTGAGAACCTAAATAGTGAATATTAAAACATTCTCTGACTCTCAAGGGCTAGCATTAAAGTGAACAAACTCTTGCTTTACCCCTGGTTTGTGTTGTATGCTGTTTTCTGTGCCTCAATTAAGCAGTAGAGCAGCAGTATTCGTGTCTATAGACAGTTTGTACCTTTGTAAACAGATTGTGTAGTTTTTCTAGCAATTTTAAAGATGAAGTATTTTGTTGACCTGAAGGATATCTCATTTCCAGTTACCTTGCATCCATGCCAAGTCGCTTCAGTCGTGTCCAACTCTTTGCAATCCTGTGGAATGTAACCCGTCAGGTTCCTCTGTCCATGGGATTCTCCAGGCAAGAACACTGGAGTGGGTTGCCATGCCCTCCTCCAGGGGATCTTCCCCACCCAGGAATCAAACCTGTGTCTCTTATGACTCCTGCATCGGCAGGCAGTTTCTTTTACCATAGATGCCACCTGGGAGGCCCTTCCATTTATCTTATTTCCCCTAACTTTGAGCTTCCCAAGTGGCGCTAGTGGTAAGGAACCCGCCTGCCAATGCAGGAGATGTAAGAGACGTGGGTTCTATCCCTGAGTTGGGAAGATCCCCTGGAGGAGGGCATGGCAACCCACTTCAGTATTCTTGTCTGGAGAATCCCATGGTCAGAGGAGCCTGGCAGGCTACAGTCCATGCGGTCACAAAGGGTCGGATGTGACTTAGCACAGACACCTCTAATTTTACTGATTCATTTTCTTGTTGATTTTATCACCCAGATAGGGACAAAATCCTATAGACAGAAACAGTAAGCCAGTGAGAAGACTGTTGGTCAGAGGGAATAAGCAATCTCGATTATAGCCTGGCATCTTTTGGTTCAGTCCCTGTTTTTTTGAAACATTATAAGACTTCAGGACCCAGATAAGATTTCTTGGCTCCCTCTCTGAATTGATATAAAAGTGGGAAAATTTTGATGTCTTAAACCATAGATTAGAAAGTAGATTCCTGGTTGTCAGGGATGGAAGAAGAAAGGAATGGGGAGGGACTGCTAATGGGGGGGCTTCTTTTGGAGGTGATGAAAATATTCTGGAAATAGAATAGCATAGTCACATTTACTAAAGATACTTTTTCTTTTTTTATTGGCTATGTTGGGTCTTAGTTGTGGTAGATGGGATCTATAGTTGTGACACATGGGAATTAGTTCCTTGTCCAGGGATCAAACGTGGGGCCTGTGCATTGGGAGCTCAGTCTTAGCCGGTATACCACCAGGGGATTCCCCACTAAAGATACTTTAAAATGAAATCTTATTGTCTATGGGTTATGTATCGATAAAGAAGAACTGTATAAGGAAAAATATGAATCCTTACAGTGACTATCAGAACATTTAGGACAAGAAAATGTTCATAAAATATGAATTAATTGATAGATGATAAGAACTGCCGGAAATCTTTCTCTAGACCACAAATCCAGCCATCATTTGTTGAATAATAAGTCAGGAGGGAGTTTCAAGTAAATTACCTTACGTCATGTGTAAGAAGTTGTGCCCCAGAAGTTGTTTTGGTTAAGGATTAAATTCTTTATTTAAAAAACCTCCCTTGTAAGCATGACTTTAATTTTACTTTCAGCATCAGTATGACAACCTGTTCCACAGTGGCTGCCCTGGGAATGATGCCACTCTGCCTTTATCTCTACACCTTGCCCTGGAATCTCGAACAGAATCTCACCATTCCATATCAGAACATCGGTCTGTATTCGGCTTGTGACATGAAATAGTAATAGTGATGGTAATAATAACAGCTGTTGTTTAGTATGTGTCTGCTTTATACAGAGGATTCTACATATATCTACTTTAATTCTCCACATAACCCAACAGTATAGATTCTATTACCAGTTCCATTTCTTGTATTTTCAGAAATAGGTGAAGTCACTTGACCAAGGTTGTGCACCTGGTAAGTGCAGAACTTGATTTCTGACTCTGGAATCTGACTGCAAAGTCCGAGTTCTTAACGCCTACAAGTGTTCAGTTTTGAAAATGAAGTCAGAAAACTCACTTATTAAAAACAAACAAACTCTCCTTATATAACTCACTAGAAAGTAGCTGGACCCCTTGTGACCCACAGGTTGACTGCATCTCAGTGACTCTTATGAGACCTTGGTCCCCCCAGTTTCATCTGTCACATTGCCCGTGAGCCTCGACTGCTTCACTGATCAACACAAATGATTCTTACCAACTGTTAAAGCATATCTACACATCACAACCACACCCATATCTCCTTCATCATCTCCTTAAACTCTGTCCTTTTTTTAGAGAGCTCTGTGATCTTACTCAGCTTGGAGGAAAAACTTGGTGGGATGATATGTCTATCCTGGTTTGATCAGCGTCTTTGAAGCATTGATAGAAACTGGTTCTTGAACTCCAAAGTGTCAGTCTGGAGTTCCAAGTTATCACTTGGAGGGCTTACAACCCATGGCCCATAATTCAAAACTGTGAACAGAGCCACATCCTGATAACAGCTGAAGCCCATTGAATTTGTAAAATTTGACTGAAATCTTAATTTATAAATCATAATTTTATGTGCAACTTCTTCATATTACTAAGAGTTTAATATATGCTATTTTGACAATATATAATAAGAGGCACTTGTATACAATTTAAGCCCCAAATATTATAAGCAACTTATATGACTTTGGCTAGTATTTCAAGTGAGCAGATTTGGAACGTGGCACTGGAAAATGTCAGTGTATGGCTCCTGTTGGGCAAGAAGACCTCTGCTGTGCTGAGCCTGCCTTCAGTGTCTTCATTTACTTGTGTTCACTAAACGATGTATTGATGTGTTTCTCTACCTGCCTATGGGTTACCTGGTTACAAGTGAAACCATGAGAACTTGCTTTGGTTTCTAAAACAGATGGTCTGTTTGTTTTGCAATAGGGATTCTTTGCAAAGCAAATCACTCATTGGCTTCAAATAGAGAAATAATAGCTGTAGTTGTTGAGTGGTGGCCCCATACATAGCAACCAAAGAATTTCAAAGACACAAAAGGGTCCATCTGTTTTCTAACCTTTACTTTTTCAATTGTCTCTAAAATTCCATATGATTGTTGAAGGATTCTGAGAGAAATATGTGATGGCATTCAGTGCTACCATTTACCCTTCAAAGACTGTCTTTCAAAGATTAAAAACATTTTTTGGAGGTGGGATGCAGAAATAAAATGTTGGTTTAATTAAAGCTTTTATCTACATGAAATAGACATAAATTGTTGAGGACTGGGAGGTAAGGATAGAGAAAGGATACCTACTGTCTGACAGATATTTCTTCTCTTCAGGAATCACCCTTGTGTGCCTGATCATTCCTGTGGCCTTTGGTATCTATGTGAATTATAGGTGGCCAAAACAATCCAAAATTATTCTTAAGGTAAGGAATTCCATGGGACATTTCAGACACTGAGACTTGCCAAGCAGATGTAGGCAGTGACCAGAACAGCCCAGTAGAATACAGTCCAGACCCAGCAAGTTTCTTTACATGCCCTGCATTTTTGTATCCAATTGCCCAATTTCCTCCAGTCTAAGGCTTGCCTTATCACTTCCGTGGGCCGCTACATTGAGGCTTATGACATCCTGCAAAGCGTGGAACTCACGTTTCAGGGGCAGAAAAGCTTAGGTCTGCGTGAGGACAGAGAGTGCCCGTTCTCTCACAAGGCTTCACATGGTGCTGTCTGGTGAAGGCTGGTCAAGGCTGCATGAAATGGGGCCCAGTGTTTAGGATGTGGCTGCTTTCCTGGAAGAGCAGGGAGCAGCGCTGTCTTTCAGAAGTATTCCTGGGGGAGCCTTTAAAGATGGAGTTTGTACGTACTCCAGCAAGAAGCAAGGACTTCTGACCACACAAATCGCTGTCAAAATGAAATCATCCAGAATGTGTTGAGGCATGATGGGAACTGGGACCTCTTACCTCCTCTTGACTTTCCAGCGTTGTCTTTTTTTGTTTTTTTAATTGAAGTATAGTTGATTTACAACGTTGTGTTAATTTCTAGTGTACCACAGAATGACTCAGTTTTACATACACACACACACACATATATATGTATTCATTTTTATATTCTTTTTCATTATGGGTTATTCCAGGACATTAAATATAGTTCCTCAGGGCTGTCTTTAGTTTATTGGAGAAACAAGCACATGTCCTCGTTAAATGGCTTTTAAAAATTATCTGGCTTGAAAGAAGGCATTCTCAACAATGGTGTCCATCTCCTAGGATTCCAAGTGTGTATTGTTTTAGAAGATATATGCTTTTCCCCTTTCAATGTGTGCTGCTTTCATGAAGATTTAAAAAAATGTTTTAGTTATATTTTGTATTTATAAAGAAACATTTGGAGCTAACTGGAATTTCAGCACATAAAATCTCAGTTCCTTTTAGTTTGAGGATTATACCTTGGTTCAGCTTAAGCTCTGGGGGTTTTGCTGTAGCTGGCAGAACATGCCATTCCATTCGCCTGCATGGATGCTGCTTCTCCACTTTGGCGTGAGACTGAACCACTCCCACCCTTCCTCCAGTGGGGTGGAGAATGAGAGAAGAGAGGCTGAGAGGCAGACAGATGAGTCAGGCACAGGGAACTGGGGGAAGGATTAAATGGTATGCGTGTGGATTGCACATGGTGACTTTACTGTTGTTTCAGTAGGAGGAAATTTCCAGGGTGGCAGTGGGTGGTTATAATTTTGTTTACAAAACAACAGGGAAGAGTATGATCACAGGAACCTCTTGCTTTTTATTTATTTCTGGCTATGTCGGTTCTTAGTTGCGACACATGGGTTGCTCTCTAGTTGTGGCACACAGGCTCCGCAGTTGCTCCGTGGAATGTAGGATCTTAGTTCCCTGACCAGGGTGTCAAACCTGTGTCCCCTGCATTGGAAGGCAGATTCTTAACCAGTGGACCAGCAGAGAAGTTCCAGGAACCTCTTACTTTTCAAGTACTCTATTTTGAATTACTTCCTTAAAAGAGTACCTAACAAAAAAAATAATGATTTTGGCGTTTCCAAATCCTCTACTAGTTCATCAGTGTCATTGGAGAAATATTTTCTATATGTTTGTAAAGAGCAAATTCAAAACCCTTTGGCTATTCCATAGGAGTTGTGGCAGAAAATATTTAATAATGTGCATAACTATATTTTAGAGTATCTTCATTAAAATTAGGATACTTTAATCATTATTTTAGGATGTCTTCCTTCTTTGTTCCTAGCCCTCTTTTCATTGTAGATCTGATTCATTTTCTTTTTTTAAATTTCAAAATAATTTATTTTTTAATTAATTTATTTTTTAATTGAAGGATAATTGCTTTATAGAATTGTGTTGGTTTCTGCCAGACATCAACATAGATCTGATTCATTTTCTGAACAAGTTGCTTTTGGTAAAGTTTAAACTCTGAGATCCCTCTCTTGGTAGAAAGTTCAGAGGCCTTTGTATATTGTAGCATCTTCGGTTAGGCGGAGGCCCAGTGTTTCCCTGATTTTGACCCCAGGACACACCTAAGGTACACTGGGTTGTTTTTATTTTGTTTTGGTTCTCCACACCCTGAATCATTTAAAATCAAGGTTGATGCTGTCGCTGGGTGCAGTTTGCTGTGTACACGATGTGAGTGGGAACTTGCCAAGATCCTGATTTTCCGCCAATATTTTGGGTCTCGCTTCCTTTCTTGGAAAAAAATTTTGTTGAATTTTTATTTCTGTTGAACAACAAAAGTATGAGAGTATTCATTTGGGAGAGGACAGAGATATCTGTCAGTACCTCTCATATTACATTAGCTCAGGTAGTCTAATGAAGCATCGGTAAATTTCATTTGGTGGAGAGAATCGCAGGAATCAATGCTGTAAGAAGTCTCAGGCAGTTGAGGGTGGTGGGAAAACAGTGGTGGATGGTCAGGCAGGGCAGATCTCAGACAACAGATTCCAGGGTGGGGTCCGAGAGGTTGTGTGCAGAGGAATTCAGCTGTGTTCAACTCTTTGTGACCCTATGGACTGTAGCCTGCCAGGCTCATCTGTCCATGGAATTCTTCAGGCAAGAATACTGGAGTGGGTTACCATTTCCTCCTCCAGGGGATCTTCCCAACCCAGGGATTGAACATCTCTCACGTCTCCTGCATTGCAGGCAGATTCTTTACTGCTAGTGCCACCAGGGAAGCCCTGTGTGTAGAGGTATTGGATGCTTATTAACAGATTTTCCCCTTATTTCACAAATTTGTCCTACCCATGAAAAATTTCACCATCCAATTCTTCTGGCAAAATCCTCCACTTGAAAGGAAAAAGGTACCGATCATAAAATAAGACTTAGGTTTGTGTTGAGCTTCATTGAATTCTAGCTCCTCAGCTAAGTCACTTGACCACATTGGATCTCTGTAAAATGACATAGGATTTGGTGGTTCTCTAAGTCCTCTCTTTGTTCCTTTCTTCTAGGTTTCAAGGCTTTTAGAGCAGTGACGGACTTTGCAAAAAGGCCGTGATGTTCACGCATACCTCTTTCATTGATTTGTCTTAGATCGGGGCCATTGCTGGCGGACTCCTCTTCTTGGTCATCGCAGTGGCTGGTATGGTGCTGATGAAAGGATCTTGGAATTCAGACATCATTCTTCTGATGATCAGTTTCATCTTTCCTTTGATTGGCCATGTCATAGGCTTTCTCCTGGCACTGCTTACCCACCAATCTTGGCAGAGGTACAGTTAAATTATCCATAAACTTTTAAAGAGGACAAATTAAACACACTGCTGTTGGCAGACTTTGCTGCCTGTCTGTGTCTGGAAGCACATAGAGTTTTGCCTTATAAAGTGGGTGGAACAGGACAACTCATCATAAAGAGAGTGGAAAGTTCATAGTAATTCTTCACATAAATGAAAAAGTGAAAGTGAAAGTCGCTCAGCTGTGTCCAACTCTGCGACCCCATGGACTATACAGTCCATGTAATTCTCCAGGCCAGAATACTGGAGTGGGTAGCCTTTCTCTTCTCCAGGGGATCATCCCAACCCAGGGATCGTTCATTAATGGTGTCAATATCCCAATCCTAATTTCACAAATTACAACTTCCCATCAATTTGGCCTTGGTTTCAAACCACTTGTTGCAATCTGGACACACTTCTCTTCTTAGTCTAATAGTTTAAGAGGATAGGTGAGATGGTTTCACTAAATATAGAGATCATTCTAGAGGATGAGCAAGGATTCAAAGACTAAGCATTTATCTATTGTTTGTGCCAAATTTTTAAAAAGTGCTAATTGTAAAGGGCAACAGGAGATAGGACAAATTCGAGAAATAAAATAGAAATTTATCTTAAATATTATCATTACAATGTGGGGTATATAATACATAAATACTGTTGTTTTTGTTCATTCACTAAGTCCTGTCTGATTCTTTGCAACCTAATGGACTGCACCATGTCAGGCTTCCCTGTCCTCCACTATCTCACAGAGTTTGCTCAAACTCATGTGCCATTGAATCAGTGATGCCGTCTAACCATCTCATCCTCTGTCATCTCCTCCTCCTGCCCTCAACCTTTCTCAGCATCAGGGTCTTTTCAAATCAATCAGCTCTTCGCATTGGGTGGCCAGAGTATTGGAACTTCAGCATCAGTTCAGTTCAGTTCAGCCACTCAGTCTTGTCCGACTCTTTGTGACCCCATGAACCACAGCACGCCAGGCCTCCCTGTCCGTCACCAATTCCTGGAGTTCACCCAAACCCATGTCCATTGAGTCGGTGATACCATCCAACCATCTCACCTCTGTCATCCCCTTCTCCTCCTGCCCTCAATCTTTCCCAGCATCAGGGTCTTTTCAAATGAATCAGTTCTTCACATCAGGTGGCCAAAGTATTGGAGTTTCAGCTTCAGCATCAGTCCTTCTAATGAATATTTAGGACTGATCTCCTTTAGGATGGACTGGTTGGATCTCCTTACAGTCCAAGGGATTCTCAAGAGTCTTTAACACCACAGTTCAAAAGCATCAATTCTTTGGCACTCAGCTTTCTTTANAGCAGATGTTGGCAATTTGATCTCTGGTTCCTCTGCCTTTTCTAAATCCAGTTTGAACATCTGGAGGTTCTCAGTTCACATCCTGTTGAAGCCTGGCTTGGAGAATTTTGAGCATTACTTTACTAGCGTGTAAGATGAGTGCAATTGTGAGGTAGTTTGAGCATTCTTTGGCACTGCCTTTCTTTGGGATTGGAATGGAAACTGACCTTTTCCAGTCCTGTGGTCACTGCTGAGTTCTCCAAATTTGCTGACATTTTGAGTGCAGCACTTTTCACAGCATCATCTTTCAGGATTTGAAATAGTTCAACTGGAATTCCATCACCTCCACTAGCTTTGTTCATAGTGATGCTTCGTAAGGCCCACTTGACTTCACATTCCAGGATGTCTGGCTCTAGGTGAGTGATCACACCATCGTGATTTTCTGGGTCATGAAGATCTTTTTGTACAGTTTTTCTGTGTATTCTTGCCACCTCTTCTTATATCTTCTGCTTCTGTTAGGTCCCTACCATTTCTGTCCTTTATTGAGCCCATCTTTGCATGAAATATTCCCTTGGTATCTCTAATTTTCTTGAAGGGATCTCTAGTCTTTCCCATTCTATTGTTTTCCTCTATTTCTTTGCATTGATCCCTGAGGAAGGCTTTCTTATCTCTCCTTGTTATTCTTTGGAAGTTAGCACAGCACAAACATTGTCAGTTTGAGAAGAAATCCACTGTGATATGTAGATCTCCTCATTTAAGTTTAAATTCTAAGGTTTCTTCTTTTGATCCTTGGTACAATTTTATCCAAGAAACAGAATAGACACATATATGTATTTAAAAACATGAAGCGGGAGATTTTTAATCAGCTTTACATTTTTGTCTACTTGGGAAATATTCAGGATGGTACCAAATACTTGGTGAGGCTCTGCCAAGTGTCCCTCATTTACTTCTTACTGCAAGTCTAAGAGGTAGATACTCTTGGTTACCCATTCTACAGATGAGCAAACCCTTTGGAGAAGTAACGTGACCAAGTTCATAGAACCAGAATGTGGTGGAGTTAAGATTTGGTCTTCCCTGGTGGCCCAGAGGTTAAAGCGTCTGCCTCCAATGCGAAGACCTGGGTTTGATCCCTGGGTCGGGAAGATCCCCTGGAGAAGGAAATGGCAACCCACTCCAGTATTCTTGCCTGGAGAATCGCATGGACGGAGGAGCCTGGTAGGCTGAGTCAGACATGACTGAGCAACTTCACTTTCACTTTTTTTACAATGTCAGTACAGCCCTATCTGCAGGGGGCTGGTTCCAGGATCCCCTGAAGATAGCAGACTCCAAGGATGTTCAACTTCCTTATATAAAATGACGTAGTATTTGTGTTTAGTGTATGCACATCTTCCATAGGTCTTCCCAGGTGGCTCAATGATAAGGAATCCGCCTGCAGTACAGGACATGCGGGTCCAATTCCTGGCTCGGAAATATCCCCTGGAGGAGGGCATGGCAACCCCTCCAGTGTTTTGGCCTGGGAAATCCCATGGACAGAGGAGCCTGGCGGGTTACAGTCCATGAGACTGCAAAAGACTTGGACACAGCTTAGTGACTGAACATGCATGCACATCTTCCATATACTTAAATTGTCTCTAGATTACTTATAGTACCTAATACAGTGTAAATGATATATAAATAGTTGCCTGCAAGGCAAGTTCAAGTTTTGCTTTAGAAACCTTGCAGAATTTTTCTTTTCCAAAATATTTTTGATCTGAGGTGGGTTGAATCCATGGGCTGACTGTCCTGAGGGACACAGACTGTTGAGGATTTGAAATATAGTTGAGTCAGGAGAGAAGGATTCCTATGGCAGAGTGTAGTCAACAGTCTTGTTTTTTTCCACACCTGATGGCTTGAGAAATATCAGGACTGAGATACTGCATTTGCTTTGTGAATGGTCCAGGTGTGAGGTACAGCTGTGTAGCTTAATCATGTTAAGTTATGGACAAGGTCTCTGAAAGAAGTGAGAGTAATCTGCAGAAAGCAAAACAAGGAACAGGATAATTAGAAATAAAATCAGAGCCACCGAATTTGCCCTGTACTAGTGATAATATGTTTACTCCCACTTTACACAGCTTTGTTACCTTCACATCTCAGTCCAGGTTGCATAGTGTGCTAAGTTGCTTCCATCATGTTCGATTCTTTGCAACCCTATGGATCACAGCGCACCAGGCTCCTCTGTCCATGGGATTCTCCAGACAAGAATACTGGAGTGGGTTGCCATGCCCTTCTTCAGGGGATCTTCCCAACCCAGGGATCGAACCCTTGTCTCTAAGTCTCCTGAATTGGTAGGCAGGTTCTTTACTAGTGCCACCTGGGAAGCCAGTTTGTGTAGAAGAGCTGCCTTATCAAATGCCTCTATCCTCTCTCCTGCCATTTGTGAAAACCTCGAGACGCCCTCTGGAAATTGGAAAAGATGAAACTGCCTAACTCAGCCTCCAAGGTCCTGCCTAGGTTTTCCTTTTTCTCCCTCCTGCTCTTTCTTCCTTCTTCCCTTCCTCTCTTCCTTTGAAAACAAATAAAACAGAGAAAAGTAGACAAAACATATTACTAAACCCTTTCGCCAAAGACTTCATTGCAGACATTTTGTTTTCACATAGGATTTTTATGTTTCTTTTTTTAAAAAATAATTTTATTTATTTGGGTCTTCGTTGCCGTGAGGGCTACCCTGTAGTTGCCGTGCACAGGCTTCTCAGTGCAGTGGCTTCTGTTGTGGAGCACGGACTCTAGGGCGTGTGCGATTCAGCAGTTGTGACTAGAGCCCAGGTTCAGTAGTCATGACTCACAGGCTTGGCTGTCCTGCAGCATGTGGGATCTTCCTGACCCAGGGATCGAACCCACGTCTCCTGCACTGGCAGGCAGATTCTTCATCACTGAGCCACTAGGGAAACCCTGTTTATTTTCAAGTGTCATTTAGTTCGTTATTTAGTTGCTAAGTTGTGTCCAACTTTTTGCAACCTGGTAGGCTGTAGCCCACCAGGCTCCTCTGTCCACAGGACAAGGCTAGAATTCTCCCAGCAAGAATACTGGAGCGGGTTGCCATTTCCTTCTCCAAGGGCTCTCCCCCTCCCAGGGATGGAAGCTGAGTCTCCTGCATTGGCAGGCAGATTCTTTAGTTTACACTGTTTTGTCTCTGACTCAATTTTCCATTCTCACCTCCTCCAGTCCTTCACTTCCCACAGGCTGGCTTAGAGCATAAGCAATGCTTACTGACCAGGCCACACTCATACCTGTCCCCAGACAAGCATTTTCCCACATTAAATGCCTCTTTCACTCTTTCCATCCTTTAATCCCACCCTTCCTCTGTGAAGCCTTCTCTAAAAGTGGCATAAATGCCACTTTCCTGAATTTCTCCCCCACGTCCCTGACCTGTGATCATACTTGGTCGTGTGTTGTTCCTGTGTATCTTGTCTTTTCACCCAGATTCCCAGGGGAAGGTTGTTAGAGCCCTATTAAAGAGGTGCTTCTTAAGAGACCGCTACAGATAGGTCCTCAGCAAATAATCGTTGAAGCAGTTTTAGTAGTCTCAGGTCATGGCTTGCACTTAATACTAAACATAAGAGAAGATTTTTGTATAGTCCTTATTGCTGGTGCATAACATTTTTGTCTTGGTAGGTGCAGGACAATTTCCTTAGAAACCGGGACTCAGAATGTTCAGATGTGCTTCACCATGCTGCAGTTATCCTTCACTGCCGAGCAACTGGTCCAGATTCTTAACTTCACATTGGCCTATGGACTTTTCCAGGTGCTGGATGGGTTTCTCATGGTGGCTGGTACGTAAAGCCCCCAGTGAGTAGGCTTGACTGAAAATTGTTCACCCAGTTCACAAACTCCTTTTTCAACATGAATCTACATGGACTGCCCTTGTGATAACATTTTTAGCATGACATTTCTAGGGAACATAAAATGTATAAACAAGATCCTGTGCCACAAGTGGAAGTTTCACAGAAAAATATAAAAAAAAACAACTGTGAAAGTGAGCTTATAAACCAATATGCTTTGCAAAAAACAATGCACTCTCAGAACTGTCCATGAGCAATTGTTTAATCTCAAAAATGACATTTGCTATGTTTTATTAAGAAATATTCCAAATGTTATTTCACAGTACTTCTGTGACTAGGAATTGTGCTGAATGGCTGTGAAATATAATGCATACACATATATTTAAAAACACATACATATATATGTCCTTGGTTCCCTGATGGCTCAGATGGTAAAGAATCTGCCTGCAATGTGGGAAACCTGGGTTTGATCTCTGGGTTGAGAAGATCCCCTGGAGGAAGGCATGGCAACCCACTCCAATATTCTTGCCTGGAGAATCCATGGACAGAGGAGCCTGGTGGGCTACAGTCCAGAGGTCACAAAGAGTTGGACATGATTGAGCAACTATGCACAGCGCAGCACATGTGTACTTACCTATCCCTATCATTATGCAGGTTCACAGAAGTTAAATTTAAAATACATAGATTGATAGATTAGTCTTAGCCATTGTGAATTTTTTTATTGTTGTCACAGAACAGATTCGACTAAGACTCAAAGATTACTGATATAACTGATTATATACTGATTACTGATCGAACAATCAGTATAAGGAACACCAGGGTTTACTTTTCCCACAAGATATATTCTAGAAGAGTAAAACCCTGGTCTTAGATCCAAATTTTAATACCTTCTCATGGTGAGACTGTTTTCGAAGGAATATGCTTGGTTCATTCCCAGTCACAGAAGCACCAGGGGAGCACCTGATCCATAGTAAGCAATCTGCAGGAGTTGCTGACTAACTGAATGAATGACTGGATAAATGGATGAGTTGTCAGCAATCTGATGAGCGTCTCAATCACAGAAGGTTCATTCCAGACAGAAATAGCCATCCTGATACACTGAATTATTTTGTTCTAGTTTTCTCTTCTTCCTCTTTATTTCCCCATGTGTTTATACATACGTGATCCAAAGCAAACAAACCCCCAAAGTTTTGACCCATGTACAATGTTATCAAATTATATTCTTTGCCAAAGTGATTTTTAACTGGTGTGTTTTAACATTTAGCATATAAGATGTACAAGAGGAGATTGAAGAACAAACATGGAAACGAGAAGCCAGGTTGTCAAGCCCGTCATAGGAAGAAAACCACTTCTCCCAAAGAGGCCATTGCTTTCTTGGAGGTGAATGAAGAAGCCACTCTGAGTCCTGGGCCCTCAGGACCCAAGGATCTCCACGGGGCTCCCACGCCAACTGATGACATCTCACGTGCCAAGTAGGGGCTTGTTGGCTTGACTACTCCTTGCCTTCCTAAGCGGCCAGTAGAGACAGCACAGAGCTGATGAGTGAATCTTGTTGGTAGGGCTTATGGGAATGTTTGAGTGTGTGATGTTAACATATTTATGTGTGGATTGTTTGGAGCTGTCATAGGATCCCCTTGGAGAATATGTTCTCCTATTTCTGGCTCTTCCTTTGCGGGTTTACACATGTTTACTAGTTGCTATGTGTGTTCTTGTCTTCCGTACAGTGAAGCGTGATCCCCATCATTACATGAAGTCGTCAAACTGTGAATTTTAATCTCACAAGAGTTAGGACTCTGGGTAGAGGAGATGTCACCTCACGCTGCAGAGCAAGGACAGTCTGGACCCACTTGATTTCTTGACTTTGGGCAAGTGCTTTGGGGTAGTGGGGAGAAAGCATACAACTCTCATAAAAATGGGTCTTTTCTCAAATGAAGATTGGTCTTTAAGGGCTTGAAAATCTTCTTAGATTTATAGATGTAATACAGGGGATTACATTACATTCCCTAGAGGGAATCTAACGAACCCTTGAAGGTAATATTTTTACTCCCTAGAAACAGGCACATTTATTCTTCTCATATGTAGATTTGTTATATAATTTAAAAAGTGCATTCCATGTATACTGTTTCATAAATCACTAAATGATTAATCACTGACTCAGTGGACACGAGTTTGAGCAAACTCCAGGAGATGGTGATGGACAGGGGAGCCTGGGGTGCTGCAGTCCATGGGATTGCAAAGAGTTGGCCTTGACTTAGCGACTGAACAACAAAAACCAACAACATATTACAGAGCATCTTTTCATGTCAGTCTGTGTTGACCTACCTCATTCTTCGCAACAGTGGCTTCATAGTATTCCAGTGTATGGAAGGACTGTAATTCATTTCACCATTTCTTATTCAAGGACATTTAGATAGCTTCCAACTTCTTGGTATTACAGTGCTGTTACAAACACCTGTGCCTCCATGCCAGTGTTTCTGTAGGATCATTCTCTAGACTTGAATTGCCAGGCTGATTGCACATTAAAATGCTGGGCAGAGAGCTCTCTGGCAATGTTGTACAGCAGTGCCTGAGAGTGTCTGGCTTCCCACAGCCACATTCATCTTAAGAATGATCGTTCTGCTTTGTGAAAATGAACCCTTGAAGGTAATATTTTTACTCCCTAGAAACAGGCACATTTATTCTTCTCATATGTAGATTTGTTATATAATTTAAAAAGTGCATTCCATGTATACTGTTTCATAAATCACTAAATGATTAATCACTGACTCAATGGACACGAGTTTGAGCAAACTCCAGGAGATGGTGACGGACAGGGGAGCCTGGGGTGCTGCAGTCCATGAGATTGCAAAGAGTTGGCCTTGACTTAGCGACTGAACAACAAAAACCAACAACATATTACAGAGCATCTTCTCATGTCAGTCTGTGTTGACCTACCTCATTCTTCGGAACAGTGGCTTCATAGAAGTATTCCAGTGTATGGAAGGACTGTAATTCATTTCACCATTTCTTATTCAAGGACATTTAGATGGCTTCCAACTTCTTGGTATTACAGTGCTGTTACAAACACCTGTGCCTCCATGCCTGTGTTTCTGCAGGATCATTCTCTAGACTTGAATTGCCAGGCTGATTGCACATTAAAATGCTGGGCAGAGAGCTCTCTGGCAATGTTGTACAGCAGTGCCTGAGAGTGTCTGGCTTCCCACAGCCACATTCATCTTAAGAATGATCGTTCTGCTTTGTGAAAATCTCATTTAAAATTGCATTGTTAAAATTGAGTGAAGCAGAGTATTTTTCATGAGTGCGTGTTCATGTCCTTTGCCCGCTTTTCTATTGTATTTTTTCCTTTTTGATTGATACATTTTAACACATGCTGGACAGTGACTCTTTGCTCTATGTTTTGTCAATATTTTACCTCTCTCGTCTCTTAGTTTTGTATAATGTCTTTTGCTGTATGGAAGTTTCACATGTTCAACTTTATTAGTCTTTCAAAATTGTTTTTTGACCTTAATATCTATCAAATGTTAGAATATTTGTATCTTTGTGTGGATCATGAATTGTAAAAGGACCCCTTTTTCGTGAATGCATGTGGACCCTTTTCAAGGAGTTCTTTTTGGGGTCAACATATTTACTAGCTGCCGTGTATACTGTCTGGCAGTAGATAAAACCCATCCTTCTCCTCTAACATTATTAAAATATTTCCTGTATTTTCCATTACTTTGATTGACTAAATATGTACATATTTATTCTATTTTGAATTTATGCTTTCTATGCTATGTTAAAAATCTAATTAATTGTCCTAACATCATATACTGTATCAGTCATCTTTTCTCTACTGATATGAAATGCCACTTGTATCATGTAACTTTCTATTACTGTGTTTTCTTGGGCTCTGTTTGGTTCCATTTTTAAATTATTTATAAATTGTAAAATGTGTAAAAGCATATTGTCTGAGATTTAGTGCTTTACAATTTTATTTTGTAACTATACCCAGGGACTTATAGGTTATATATATAATGTCAATGGTTATTATGGTATTTTCCCAATTAAGGACATCTTCATGGTAGTACAGAGACATATTAGGTATCACAAGTATATTTATATGGAAAGGAAGTACACACATGTGTGACATGATTGTTAATTCTCAACTGCTGCAGTTAATATAGTAGAATTGGATGTTCAGAGATCCTCAGTTCCAAAATGAGCATTACCATGAGTTTGAAAGGATCCACAAGAAAGGGATTAAATCATTTGTCTACATAAGCACCTAACAGAAAATGGTAAATTCCCATGTTCCATTCTCAAAGTATTAATTGCATGATCAGTGTTTACCCCCATCAGGACAGGTCTGGTGACAAGTACACCAAAAGCCATCCTTTAAGACAGAAACAACACAAATCAAGGTAAGGGTTTGAAAGTAGTCACACTGGACGATTGCCATCTTCAGAGATGGTACGTAAATGTGTTATTGAGAGGAAACAGAAATAGTCAAGTTGAGACTTCCCTTGGACTTCTAGTCCAGCGGCTAAGATTGTGCTCCCAATGCAGGAGGCTGGGGGTTTGATCCCTGGTCAGGGAACTACATTCCACATGCTGCAGCTAAGAGCTTGCACGTGGCAACTGAAAGATCCTGCGTGCTACAGCTAAGACCCAACACAGCCAAATAAATAAATAAGAAAAAAAAAAAAAGGTTGTCCAAGAGGTCAGGCATTATCTTTAAAAAGAATGTAAACAAAAGCTCTAACTGAATAAATTGTATTCTAACTGATCTAAATAATACCTGTTCATAAAAGCAGGGCCTCTATGAAGCTCAGAAGTGGGGAGTGCAGAGCAATGTTAAGCAGAATGAGTCAGCTTTGCATCTGGAAAAGACCCCGGTGGGCAGCTGGGACAGCAGAGTGTAGCGGAAAGAACACGGGCTTCACCGGGACTATTTGTTGTGATACACTTGAAGAGCTAGATGGGCTGTTGTCAGGCAGTCCTAGAATTGAATCCCAGCTGTTATTTGGACAATCTTGAGCAAGGTTCAGTCTCCTTTCTTAAAAAGGATGTTATCCTGCCCACCAGTGGGTTGGAATCACCCCTGGCACCCCCTGGGTTCTGCAGCGGGCTGCCCTGAGACCCTGACCAGTCCACCAGTGGGTTGGCACTGGCTGACCTCCTTTAGCTGTGCAGTCAACTACACTGGGACCCAGTGGTGCCCACCAGTAGGCCTGAAGCCACTGCACTAGGCAGGGCCTGGCAGGAACAGGGCCAGGACTAGCCATGCCCAACAATGTGCCCACTGTAGTCAGCCCTGCCATTAAAAAGGGCCCATGCAGCCAACATAAGGTGAATGCCTAGAGCATATAGCTCTGGTGACCAGAGGGTGTGTACTGCTGAGGCCCATGATGTGTCTCCTACATAAGGCACTTTTCTAAGATTGGGAAACATAACCTACCTACCTAATGCAAATGAGAGAATTAAGTCAATGAAAAGACAGAGGAATAAGTTCCAAATGAGGAACAAGACCAAAATCTCAGAAAATCTAAGTGGAGATAAGCAATTTACCCAACAGAGTTTAAGGTAATGATCATAAAGATGCAAAACAAATTCAAGAGAAAAATGGATGGGGACTTCCCTGGTGGTCCAGTGGCTAAGATGTCGTACTCTGCTCCCAATGCAGGGGGCTTGGGTTCAATCCCTGGTCAGAGAACTGGATCCCACATGCTGTAACTAAAGGTTTCACATGCCTCAATGAATATCAAAGACCCACATACTGAGACTAAGACCCGGCACAGCCAAATAAATAAATATTAAAAAAAAAAAAGGAAAAATGGATGAACATGGTGAGAAGTTTAACAGAGAGCTAGAAAATATAAAGAACCAGAGCTGAAGACTACAATAAAAGAAATAAACATATACACTAGAAGGAATCAACAGTAGATTAGATGATATAGAGGAATGGGTCAGTGAACTAGAAGACAGCAGAGGAAATCACTCAAGCTGAAAAAAACAAAAATCAGCGTAAGAGAGCTCCAGGAAACATCAGGCATACTAACATTTACAGTATAGGTGTCACAGAAGGAGGAGAGCGAGAAGGGGCAGCGAACATACTTGAAGACATAATAGCTGAGTATTTCCCTAACCTGGGAAAAGAAACCGACATTCAGGTCCAGGAATCACAGAATCCCAAACAAGATAAACCTACTAAAGAGAATCACATTAAGACACACTGTAGTTAAAATGGCAAAAATTCAAAATAAAGTGAGAATTTAAAAGAGGCAAGGGAAAAGCAACTGGTTATGTACAAGGAAGTTCCCATAAGATTATCAGCTGACTTTTTAGTGGGCTGCAGGCCAGACGGGAGTAGCATGATATATTCAGAGTGATGGAAAAAAATGTACACCAATACCCTGCCCAACAAGGCTATCATTCGGGTTTGAAGGAGAGAGAGAATTTTACAGAGAAGCAAATGCTAAGAGAGTTCAGCACAACTAAATTAACTGTATAAGAAATGTTAAAGAGATGTCTCTAAGTGGAAAAGAAAAGGCCAACAGTAGAAGTATGAAAATTGTGAAAGAAGTCTCATTGGTAAAGGCAAATATACATAAAGGTAGTAGATCTAAGTTTGAAAAACTTAAAAAGATCAAGTTTAGTTATAAAGCTAGTAGGAAAGGTAAAAGACAAAAGTAGTAAAATCATCTATATCTGAAATAATCGGTTAAGGATAGACAAAACAAAAAGATGTAAAATATGTCAAACACATGAAATGTGGGGAGAGGGAACAAAAATGCAGGGTTGTTACAAATGCACTTGAACTTAAGAAATCAATTTAAATATACACACACAGGAGAGAAAGGAGTCCAAACATAACACTAAAGATAATCATCAAATCATAAGGGAGGAGAGCAAAAGATGAAGGAACAGGACTTCCCTGGTGGGAACACCTCAGTGCTTAAGACTCCACACTTTCACTGCAGGGGGACATGGTTCAATGCCTGACTGGGGAACTAGGATTCCACATTTGCACAGCACAGTAAAAACAAACAAACAAACAAACAAAAAATAGAGCTTCAAAACAACCAGGAAACAACGAAAAAAATGCCAATAAGTATATACCTATTACTAATTACCACGAAGTGACTAAATGGATAAAAAAAAAAAAGACACACGTATATGCTGCCTACACGAGACTCACTTCAGATCTAAAGACATACACAGACTGAAAGTGAGGGGTGGAAAACAACAGAAAGCTGGGGCACCAGTATTTACATCAAACAGGATAGACTTTAAAACAAAGATTGTAACAAGAGAAGGACATTACATAATGATTACATAAGATATCAATCCAACATAAAGATAAAACAATTGTAAATATATATGCACCCAACATAGTGGCAGAAAGTGAAGAGGAATGAAGAGCCTCTTGAGGGTGAAAGAGGAGAGTGAAAAAGCTGGCTTAAAACTCAACATTCTAAAACTAAGATCATGGCATCCGGTCCCATCACTTCATGGCAAAGAGAAGGGGAAAAAGTGGAAACAGTAACATCTTATTTTCTTGGGCTCCAAAATTACTGCAGACAGTGACTGCAGCCATGAAATTAAAAGACGCTTGCTCCTTGGAAGAAAAGCTATGACAAACCTAGACAGCATATTAAAAAGAAGAGACATTACTTTGCTGACAAAGGTCCATCTAGTCAAAGCTATGGTTTTCCCAGTAGTCATGTATGGATGTGAGAGTTGGACCATAAAGAAGGGTGAGTGCCAGAGAACTGATGCTTTCAAATTGTGGTGCTGGAGAAGACTCTAGAGTCCCTTGGACTGCAAGGAAATCAAACCAGACAATCCTGAAGTAGATAAACCCTGAATATTCACTTGAAGGACTGATGCTGAAGCTGAAGCTTCAATACTTTGGCCTCCTGATGTGAACAGCTGACTCTGGGAAAGACCCTGATGCTGGGGAAGACTGAAGGCAGGAGTAACAAAAATGCAGGGTTGTTACAAATGCACTTGAACTTAAGAAATCAATTTAAATATACACACACAGGAGAGAAAGGAGTCCAAACATAACACTAAAGATAATCATCAAATCATAAGGAAGGAGAGCAAAAGATGAAGGAACAGGACTTCCCTGGTGGGAACACCTCAGTGCTTAAGACTCCACACTTTCACTGCAGGGGGACATGGTTCAATGCCTGACTGGGGAACTAGGATTCCACATTTGCACAGCACAGTAAAAACAAACAAACAAACAAACAAAAAATAGAGCTTCAAAACAACCAGGAAACAACGAAAAAAATGCCAATAAGTATATACCTATTACTAATTACCACGAAGTGACTAAATGGATAAAAAAAAAAAAGACACACGTATATGCTGCCTACACGAGACTCACTTCAGATCTAAAGACATACACAGACTGAAAGTGAGGGGTGGAAAACAACAGAAAGCTGGGGCACCAGTATTTACATCAAACAGGATAGACTTTAAAACAAAGATTGTAACAAGAGAAGGACATTACATAATGATTACATAAGATATCAATCCAACATAAAGATAAAACAATTGTAAATATATATGCACCCAACATAGTGGCAGAAAGTGAAGAGGAATGAAGAGCCTCTTGAGGGTGAAAGAGGAGAGTGAAAAAGCTGGCTTAAAACTCAACATTCTAAAACTAAGATCATGGCATCCGGTCCCATCACTTCATGGCAAAGAGAAGGGGAAAAAGTGGAAACAGTAACATCTTATTTTCTTGGGCTCCAAAATTACTGCAGACAGTGACTGCAGCCATGAAATTAAAAGACGCTTGCTCCTTGGAAGAAAAGCTATGACAAACCTAGACAGCATATTAAAAAGAAGAGACATTACTTTGCTGACAAAGGTCCATCTAGTCAAAGCTATGGTTTTCCCAGTAGTCATGTATGGATGTGAGAGTTGGACCATAAAGAAGGGTGAGTGCCAGAGAACTGATGCTTTCAAATTGTGGTGCTGGAGAAGACTCTAGAGTCCCTTGGACTGCAAGGAAATCAAACCAGACAATCCTGAAGTAGATAAACCCTGAATATTCACTTGAAGGACTGATGCTGAAGCTGAAGCTTCAATACTTTGGCCTCCTGATGTGAACAGCTGACTCTGGGAAAGACCCTGATGCTGGGGAAGACTGAAGGCAGGAGGAGAAAGGGAGGCAGAGGATGAGATGGTTAGATAGTATCACCAACTCAATGGACATGAACCTGAGCAAACTCCGGGAGATAGTGAAGGACAGGGAATCTGGATAGGCATGCTGCACTTCATGGGGTCACAAAGAGTCAGACACGACTTAGTGACTGAACAACAACAAATAAGACCTGAAATCATAAAGCTTCTAGAAGAAATCATAGGTGGTATGTTTTTTGACACTGGTCTTAGCAATAATGTTTTGGATATGTCTCCTCAGGAAAGGGAAACAAAACCAAAAATACACAAATGGGACTACATCTGACATTATCACACTTTACAATCAATCCTGGCAACTGCCTACTTCTGAACTTGTTTTCTTAAAGAAAGAAATCTCTAAATTGTGTTAAGCCTGTTGATTTAGTTTTTGGTTGGTTGCAGTCAAGTGCAACTCCAAATTGATATATTAAAATTTAAATTGACTTTAAAATATTATGCAGGTCAATGCATAATGTTACATTTATCTTGACCATAACAAAGTATCTTGAATTATGTAAGATGGGAATACATTCTTTCACTATCAAGATAGTGACTGAAGGGAAGCTTTTGTAAGTTGTTAATTTCTTGGATGTATCGCATTGTATTTAGATAACTAGACATTTTAAAACCAAGAATCTAACAGGCAACCTGGAACCACAGATGTGAACACTTGTCCTTTTCTCAATAACCGTTTCTCTCCATTTTATCATAATACAGAAATATTTCTACTAATACATATAGCAAACTTGCAGATGAAAATGATACATTCAATCTTACAGTGCTCAGTGCACATACTAAGATATATTTTTAGAATATGCAACTTTAGTTCAGTTTTATAGATTCCATCACTACTTATGCTTCTCCTTCTTTTGTGTAGAGTTGTCCTGTCACTGGGATCAGCTGCTCAGCCAACTCATTTCCCAGCTTCTTTGTGCTCAGGGATGCTGTTTGACCAGTTCTTGCTGATAGAATGAGTGGCAGAAATGTGCTTTGCTTCCAGGCTGCCCAGCTCAAAAGATCCCCCATAGGCGTCCCTCCATAGCCTTTCCCCCTTTTCTGGCTGGGGGTATGGAGATGATTCTCACGATGACCTTGGAAACTCTGTGTGGATTACAGAAACTCCCATCAGCCTGGGCTCCTACCAACTGGAGGGAGGAGAGGTAGTCTGCCGAGCTCTTCGCCTACCCAGAACTCTTAGATAAACTTCGGTTGTGTCTGAGCCATTCTGTTTGGGTGTATGTGTTCTGGTACTCAGCTATCTAACGTGTGTTAGGAGCGGAGTTGTATTTATTCATTTGTTTACTGAGTGCTTCCACGTGCCGCCCTGGCTCTGTGGCCTCAGTGTGCTTTCTAAAGTGAAACTCACATTTTCTTCCCCCAGTTTGCATTTCCTAGCTACGTTCTTTCCAGAAAAAGCATCCTTCTCCAGCTTTCCCCCGCCCATCTCTGTGGACTTCGGATGGGAGCTAATCACCTCCAGCTGTACTGGCTCCCGGATGCCGCTGGCCTCATTTCCTGTGCTTATGACCGGAAAACAAGGTCTCATGATTCCAGCCCACGCAGGAGTTTCCAAATAGCTTTTAAAGCAACAGAAACACCCCCCGCTCCCCCGCTTCAAATCTTTTACTACGACCCAATCTGTAGAAACTGTTCTGATGGAAGTGGGAATGATGGTGATGAAGTATGCTTCTCTTGCTAGATTCAGAGCTACTTCCAAAAAGTGAAAGTGAGCTGAAAGTGTTCACTTTCAGGACTCTTTGTGACCCCACGGACTGCAGCCCACCAGGCTCCACTGTCCATGGGATTCTCCAGGGACGAACACTGGAATGGGTTGCATTCCCTTCTCCAGGGGATCTTCCTGACCCAAGGCTAGAACCTGGATCTCCTGCATTGCAGGCAGATTCTTTACCTTCTGAGTCACCAGGATAGTCCTGCCACTTGGGAGGTAGGACTCAAGCCTGCTGCCTGGTGAGGACTCAGCCATATCCCTGTGGACTTTTGTGCATCTCCTGATCTTGTCTTCTGCTTTAAATAGCTTCAGCTCTTCAGGAGTAGTTCCCAGTAGATCTTGGGGAAGATCAGACATTCCAGTTAATTAGCTCAGAATCGGTCAATCCTATGAGGAGGAACCAAACAGTTTCCGGGGTCTTGGGATGGCATCACTCATGGCAGAGTGGAGGAGTGCTGTCAGAACTAGGAGTTAGTGAAACACGTTCGGTACCGAGAATCAGAAGTGGGTCCTTCAAAGCCAGTCTCTTTCCTTTGTGCTGCACGCGAAGTCGCTTCAGGCATGTCTGACTCTCTGCAACCCTGTGGACTGTAGCCTGCCAGGCTTCTCTGTCCATGGGATTCTTCAGGCAAGAATACTGGAGTGGGTTGCTATGCCGTCCCTCCAGGGGGATCTTCCCCACTTGGGTCAAACCCGAGTCTTCCGTCTCCTGCACTGGCAGACAGGTTCTTTTCCACTAGCGCCTCCTGGGTAGCTGCTTCCTTCAGGCAGAATCAATATCAACCTCCCAAGAAGCGTGATACTGTTTTCTTTCATTACCCCTTGTCAGCGAGATATTCTGAGTTTTGCAACAACTAGGACTTGAAAATTCTGATTCAAGTATCAGTTAGGCTTATGGGGAGGAGGCAGGAAGGGAGACTGAATTTCTTAGCCACTGTTAGTCAATACCTGACCCTCAAATCAGAGTCTGCGGAAGATCTCCAAGGGTTCCAACAATACTCCCAGTCTCTGTGGTTGGAATGACTGGGACCAAATGGGGAGATGGGAAGTTGGGAGTCCAGAAGTTCCTGCCTTCACAGGGTCCTAGATGTTGTTAAAACACAGCACACTGAAAATGTTAAACTTGTCCACACACACTTTTGGCTTGTTCATGTTTTAAGGTGTATTTTTATTTACAAAGTGAGCTGATGTATAACATGATGCAGTTACAAACATATTTGGTATCTCTATATTCATGGAAAAGTATATAAATATATTACAGGAAGTTCTAGATAGTAAACATTAGAAATTGATACAGTAAACATTTGCTACCTTTTTTTNGGATACAGAATTGTGCGGTGTCATGAAAATGCCAAGGAACAGAAACCCAATTGACAAAATGTGGAAGGAAGAAGCCTGGGGGTGGGCTGGGTGAGTGCTAACTGACGCTGTCTCTGATGGGTGGGCCACCTCTATTTTTGTGCTTTGGTGACACTTGCGGTCCTCTGGTTTCTAGCCCTGCACCCTCCTTCCCGAACTGCGTCTTGTTTCAGCACAGCAGCCGGAGTGGTCCTTTAAGATGGGAGTTAATTCACATCATTCCATACTGACAATCCGGTGATGCCTCCATCTCACTCAGACGGAAGCCCCAAGCTCTGGCCCCATCACCTCCTCTCACACCTCCCCTCCTGCTCCCTCTGCCTCAGCCACACGGGTTGTGACTACTCTTGAACACAGAAGACACGCTCCTATCGTGGACCTCCTGGAAGGTGATTCTGTCTGCCTGCAAGGTTTTTTCTCCCAGACATCCGCATGACCGCCTGCCTCACGTCCTTCACATCTTTGCTCAAGGGGTTGCATCCTCAGTGGTACCACTCTATGTAAAATATCACCCAGCCTGCCATGCCTCATGCTCCACTCCACCCTTTCTCCTTCTAAAGCACTTATCACTTTCAAAGATCTTATATCATAACTTATATCTTAACTGAGTACAGTTAATGGATTTATTATCTGCCTTGTTCATCACCATTCACTAGAAGATCTTTTATTCTGGCAGAAGATCTTTGTTATTCATCTTATTCACTGACATGCTCCAAGCATCTAGAAGAGTGCCTGGCATACAGTAGGCACTTAATAAATATCTGCTGAACAACTGAACTTCCTGGATCTAAAGATGAATTTTTTTAGTACGTTTTCTTTACCTAAAAAAATTGGCTATGAATCAGCTTAATATTTAGAAGACCTAATTTGAATTTAAAAGGTATATGAAAGGAAAGGTGGCAAGTTTTAATTTTAAAAATAGTAAACTTTTGTATTCTTTGGGAGGTAGAGAAATATAAATTATTAGATATATGAACACAGCTTCCATACCAGACAAAAAAAAGAGGAAAAAGAGAGAGAGGAAGAGAAGACCAGATGTATAGTGTGAATATATGCTGATATATATAGCTTCACCACTACTGGAAGTGATGTTTGAGCAATTTTGAAAATATGGAAAAATGGTTATAGGGTTGAATGTAAGACATGGGATACAGAATTGTGCAATGTATTCCCCTCCCAATATAAACAAAAAGGATAGTGGAACTACAAGGAGTGGACAGACACTCTACGTCATGTAGTCCCCGGGAAGGACCCATGTCTGCAGGTCAGTGGGTGATATAACCTATCTTTTGACTTTAGGTAAGAGAAATGAAAATGACCAAAGCACAGGATAAATGAACTCTTTTCCAAGCTAAGAACTCCAGACCCCCTTTCTGCCTTCAAGTCAATGTTGCTGAATCTATTCCCTCAGGAAAATTCTGTAGCAAAAATATTACCTTCTCTCTCTTTTTTAGGTTGGAATTGGGGAGGAAATGCCACTAATTACATGCTATTTTGTCCCACCTCAAATTTTTGCCCCTCAATGTGCCATCCTATTCTCTGTAATCTATTCATTGTTGGTATTGCATTTTCTTGTTTTTTAAACTAAAAGGTAACATTGAAAAAAGACAGCCCTAGAAATACTTCTGCAAAAATCTTCATCAGAAGTTATGAGATGACACTCACCTCTGTCTGAACCATCCCGTGTCTCTGTAGTCTCATGCAGCGCACTAAGTCAGAGATGTCGAACTGCCAAAGGAAACAGTGTCTGTATGTTATATAAAAATGATAATTGACTTTGAACCCCAAAGATTCACCAAGGAGTGGCTTATATAGATTTCTTCACCCCAATCTCCTTTCCCTTCTATTAACCTTGAGAAACTCTTCCAGACAAAATAAGTTGGTGAACTGACTTTGCCATCACTTGATAATTTTATTTATGATCTTTCTAAGAATTAGGAAGTTTATTCTATTAGAAAATCCCCAATAGGAATTCTCTTTCCTTTGGAACGTTAATTTCTAGTGTCTCCATTAACTATTTTTCCTATATTTTGCTGCTCAGAATAAAATACCTGATCTTTTTATATTCCCAAGGGAGAAACAGACTATTTTGTTTTGTCCTACTTAAATTATCATGAGAGTGTGAAGAGCAAGATAGTACGGTTCTTGGCAAATTCTTTAAGAGATAATGATTAGTTACATATTACGTATAGTAAGATATCATAACATTTTAAGCACGACTTACACTAATTTAGGTTTTAAGTAAGATTATACTTATTAACTTTGCTTATTTAGTAGTAAATTGAAAAATCAGGAGTAATTGCTTATAAATAGACAATTCAGTATCAATTTGTATAATAAAGTGTGTGTTTCTCACCTATAGGTAACAATAACAGCAACAAAATAAAACTTTTTCATTTCAAAGATACACTTTCTTTGGTGCTTCAGTATTTCTGTCTCTATCTTACACAATTCTAAAGACTATACAGAGTAAAAATGCAATACCACATAAGGGTTTAATGTGGTATTTTAAATACCACATGTATTTTAAATACATGGTTAAAAAATCCCAGTAAAACAAATGTAAGTTTGGAATATTATTTTCTTCTTGATTATGCCCTATGCAGTTTTGAAAGTTTACTAAAATACAATTCTATGTAGTAAGAAAACTGTCATTCATACAAACTAATGAATAAAAAATTCTGAGATCACAACCCAGCCTGTACTCACTTCAAGATCTTGACTGATTAATCCTAGAACCACATCTATGCATATCAGGGTTCCTGAACGTCCAATGCCCGCGCTGCAGTGTGTGATGATTGGGCCCGATCTGTGAACATGTCTCATGTAGGAGATAAACGTCAACAAGTCGTCTGGCTGGGAAGGTGTATCATGGTCTGGCCAGGCAGTAAAATTCAGATGAGATATATGTCGTACCTCTCCTGTCTGAAATTGTACAACAGAATAAGTAGATAAAGGTGTACTATGTCATTCACATATAATTAATTCTTATTATTTTGTCCTTTTAAATTTTGCCCGGTCTGTTGGATTAGATCCAGATAAAAATGGAAGAGACAAAGAGACTCCATCAGACAACACATGGAGGACCTTTATAAAGGAGGTTACTAGACTGCGGTATGGCAGAAACCCACACAACATTGTAAAGCAATTATCCTCCAATGAAAAATAAAAAAGGTTACTAGATCCATACCTTAAATATTGGTAAAAACTACTTTTTGGAAACCCTAAAAGCAAATTATGTTTTGTTATGAATAACAACCTTTTTTTTTTAAAAAAAGACCCCTTCTCAAACTCACTCAGGTAAAAGCCACAGTCACCGCAGGGGCTTAAAAGCCCTGCAGATGTGGCCCGGCTTCCTCTCACACCGAGCCTCTTCTCCTGGCCACTTTGCTCCAGCACAGGGCCCTCTCGGTTCTTTCAAAACACTAGGCACAGTCTCGTCTCAGGGCCTTTGCACTTGCTCTTTCTGACTGAAATGCTTCATTCCCCACAATGTCCCCGTGATGGTGTTTTTCTCATAGCATCAGTATCAGTATCATAACACCAGTATCTTATTAGAAATTACTTTCCATGAGGTCGGCAATTTCCTTTGGTTGTATGATTAACTTCTGAATCCCCAGATTCTATAAAAAAGTTTAAGCTCTATAAATGTGTTGATTAAATAAGTCGTTTAAGAAATATCGAACAATTGTGCTAGCATACTGGAGTGGAAGCCTGGCGTGCTGCAGTCCATGGAGTTGCAAAGAGTCAGACATGACTGAGAGACTGAACTGAACTGGAGTGGATAGCGAGTGATTCCCTTCTCCAGGGGATCTTCCCGACCCAGGGATCAAACCTGGGTCTCCCACACGGCAGGCAGGTTCTTTACCATCTGAGGCACCAGGCATTACCCCAAGTAATGCGTTCAGTCAGTTCAGTTGCTCAGTCGTGTCCGACTCCTTGCGACCCCATGAATCGCAGCACACCAGGCCTCCCTGTCCATCACANCTCAAACTCATGCCCATCGAGTCTGTGATGCCATCCAGCCATCTCATCCTCTGTCGTCCCCTTCTCCTCCTGCCCCCAATCCCTCCAAGCATCAGGGTCTTTTCCAATGAGTCAACTCTTTGCATGAGGTGGCCGAAGTATTGGAGTTTCAGCTTCAACATCAGTCCTTCTAATAAAATAGGCTGGTGTAAATGAATACAGAGGTATAATCTTTGTAAAATCACAAATTAGAAATCATGAAGGAAATTCTCAGGCTCTGTTTACATGCCACCAACATGAGTCAATAAGCTTTGTTTCTATGAAAATAAAATTATTCTTTAACAAAGTTAAAACTCCAATAGGAAACAAATTACTCAAACCAAGTTAGCATTACTGGGTGGAGGAAGGAAAAAATGTGAGGGTGTGTGGAGGTGAAGAAACAGTAGAAGCTTAACTTCAGGTATAACCACTTATCTAATTCAAGATAATTTGTTCAGTGCTTAGGTGGAGCAATCGGAATTACCTGATTAACAAACATGTATGCTACAATTGTCCCTATATTAAAATATGTTGTCTTTGTAGGGGATTATTTCCCATGTGGAGATTTAAAAAAAAAGTTTTCTTGAGCATACTTAGAGGTTTGACCTTTAAAAAAAGAAAAGAGTTTCCAGCACATAGTTTCTGAGCTGTTCTGCACTATCACACCAAGCAAAGGATGATGGTTGATTCTGTAAAAGTCCTGCATTTCCATTTTCATTTTAATACAGTATATACTGGAGGAAGGGCTTCCCTGGTGGTTCAGTGGTAAAGAATCCACCTGCCAATGCAGGACATGCGAGTTTGATCCTTGGGTTAGGAAGATCCCCTGGTGAAGGAAATGGCAACCGTCTGCGGTATTCCTTCCTGGGAAATCCCATGGACAGAGGAGTCTGGCAGGCTACAGTCCAAGGGCTTGCAAAAAGAGTTGGACATGATTTAGTCACTAAACGACATACTGGAGGAAACTTGCAGAATTCATGATGAGGGTCACAGTAAAGTTTCTATTAGATTAAAAATAGGGGGAATTAGTTCCACTGAAATGGGACTCAAATCATTAGCTTTTATTCAGAGAAAGACACTGATGTAATCATGGAAAGACTGAGCGCACGCACCTGAATGTCTTCCAGGGTCATTGCCCTCACCACAAAGCCCTTCAGCTGCTGCGCTCGCACCAGAGCCAGTCGAAGTCTGTCGCTGACCATGGTCGATTTGCCTAGGACGTTAGGCCAATAGCGCTGGCATTTGATTTTTTCCCCTTCTACTTCTTGGGTCATCATGGCTATCACTGTGGAGTTTTGTTCCCAAATCATCTGCCAGAAATCTCCAACGGTTGTGGGGAGAGGTCCTTGGCAGGCGATGTAGACAAACTCTTCTCTCCCCACTGGTATCTTGATGAAGCTGGCGTTGATATATCCACCTTCATCTCCCAGAGGCACTCTGGTAGCATCATCTGTGAATTTCCCATCACAATACACAGTTATCTATATCATGCATTTTTAAACAAGATCCTCACAGACTAGGTGAGTCAAAGATTGAGACTTTCCTCATAACCACAGATGAAATCACAAACATATTTTACTAAAGGCATGTTTTCGAGGTGTAGTACAATGAAATAATTTTGTACATTTCCCTCATGTTGCAAGTATATTTAAGATGTAACTCAGAGAGTTCCCCTCAAGTTGGGAAACTACTAAAGTACTTATTACAAATATGATTGGCACAATTAATGCTTGCTTATCTAATTTTATTCCTTTAAATAAGCAGCCAAAATAATAAACTAATGCAATAAATAAAAAAGGTAGGTTGCTTCATTCTCCAGGCATTGTAATTTCATATAGTCAAAACATAAATTTTCAAAGCAGGTTCCCCAGTGAAAAGTTTATATAAGCCATTTTTTTTTTAAAAATTAATTTTTTATTGAAGGATAATTGCTTTGCAGAATTTTGCTGTTTTCTGTCAAACCTCATCATGAAGCAGCCATAGGTATACATATATCCCCTCCGTTTTGAACTCCCTCCCATCTCCCTCCCCATCCCACCGCCTAGGTTGATACAGAGCCCCTGTTTGAGTTTCCTGAGCCATACAGCAAACTCCTGTTTGGCCATCTATTTTACATATGGTAATGTAAGTTTCCATGTTACTTTTTGCATACATCTCACCCTCTCCTGCCCTCTCCCCATGTCCATAAGTCTATTCTCTATGTCTGTTTCTCTATTGTTGCCCTGTAAATAACTTCTTCAGTACCATTTTTCTAGCTTCCGTTTGTATGTGTTAGAAAACAGTATTTATCTTTTTCTTTCTGACTCACCTCACTCTGTATAATAGGTTCAATTTCATCCACCTCATTAGAACAGACTCAAACGCGTTCCTTGTTATGGCTGAGTAATAGTCCATTAAAAACATGGAACGCTTCATGAATTTGCATGTCATCCTTGTGCAGGGGCCATGCCAATCTTCTCTGTATTGTTCCAATTTTAGTATATGTGCTGCCGAAGCGAGCACTATATAAGCCATCTTATCTAAGAGAATTAATTTGTATGGACTTATACATTGGAAGTAATTTCTAGTTTAAATATTCACAAATTTAACTGGTTATTTTTGTGATTGCCAAATTATGATGTTTAGTAATAGATTTCAAAATCCTCTATCAATTGCCTTTCTATTACTTGACTTCTGTTTCTTGTTCCACAGAAGCAAATCTACTCAGTAATCCTTGATTTATCCCATTATGCTTTGAGATACTAGTCTGGCCATTTTTTTATATTCCTAAAATAATCATCATGTACTTTATGTCAAACCATGCTCTATTCCATTTTTATTTTATTTATTCCATTTAAAAATTTTGTCTAAGATTCAATTCTTTTTAAAAAAATTTTCTTGAAATGCATTTGATTTATAAGAAATTAAACTCTTAAAGGAGGTTTTTCTAAATGAATTTTGTATCTTCTACCCTGACTGAAAAAATTCAATTGTGTTATCTTTATTGCATGTTTGTCATGATTGGTTCTGTTATTTATCTTTGAAGTTATAACTTCCTGGCAAAGATAAGGTCATTGAAGTTATAACTTCCTGGCAAAGATAAGGTCAATGTGTCATGTGATATAATTCAATATGCCAAAATATGTAAATATGACTCATGATTATTATAAGTTGCTAGATGTTAGTATTTTAGTTATATGCACATATTCATATATATTTTTAAAAAGTCACATGTTGATTGGTGAAATGGGATGGGTAAAAAGGATCACTAGTTTTTCCATGTGGTATCTGAAACAATTCAAAGGACAATGCAACGTGGTAGTCCCACACTGGCCACATGCACAAACATAGACATTTCTCTGTGATTGAAATGTGGAATATATAGATCTGACTATGAATAGATCTGACTATGACACATGAACTAATAAATTGCTTATCCAGAAGTCATTTAATATTTTTAGAAAGACCTTAAAAATTCATGAATGTCTGAAGATACATTTAAGATTCCCCTAATCAATTTTCAGAATACATAGAAACTTTGAAAAGAGTTCACACTATATATATAAATTTATTTGTCACTGATGTAAATCTCTGGATGTATGTCTCTGTGTGTGTGCACACTTACGTGAGTGATAAACTAGCACGTTAAGTTTTAAACTGGTTAAAATTATATTAAACATACATTTGATTTGAAACCAAATTGGAACTTACAGGGCAGTATATTTTTATATCGGTTCTTCCTTCTGTTTTCCTTCGTCTGTCCAATTAGACATTGATCCAAAGGTTTTAATTCTTGAAGATTCTGTTAAGTAAAAATAGAAATAAAATTAAATTTGAGATAAATAGTAATTCATTGTAATGACTGCAAATGCTTTAAATGTACAGGCAGCAAAACTAACTATTGATTAGGGCAAACTTTGTTTAGAAATAGTTATGTCCTGTTAATACAAATCAGCCTAAAATCCCAATACTAAATCAATAAACTGTTGCAAATGATGCATCACATCTATAGTGTATTAACTATGAAGTTTAGTGGATGGTTGGAATTGATACTTGGCTTTTTAAAAAAACTCTTCATCTTAATATAAGGATATTCTTCAAGTAGATTTACCAAGCTCCAAAATGTCTAAAGAGATTCCTTGAAATTATTCTATTAGGATTCTAATCAGAAAAATTAATTTACTGCTAGAAATGAATGGCAACCCACTCCAATATTCTTGCCTGGAAAATCCCATGGACAGAGGAGCTTGGCAGGGTTACAGTTCATGCGGTCATAAAGACTCAGACACGACTGAGTGACTGAGGATGCTAGAAATGACTAGATGGTGTTTTATAGTTGGAGGTTGTAAAGAAGCAGACATTTCCAAATTTTTCAAAATTTCTCTTAACCTTGCATAAAACGTCATCTGAGAAAGAACCACTGTCAGAAGCTCGTTACCTCCAGCTCCTTAGATGGGATTCCTTGATCAAGTAAACCCCGCAACATTCGAATGACTGACTTCAGCTTGGCACCAGTGTATTTCCCGGAGGGAAGCACTTTGACGATGGGGAGTGTGGTGAGTTCCTCGTTTGTCAGAAAGGGATGCTCTAAAAAGACACCAGTTAATTAAAAAAAATTCCCCCAGAACTAATTTAGCCAATAAGAGAACTAATTTGAGCTTATCCTCACCTTATCTGGTTTTTACAAAAGTTGAGAGTATTGGAATTAATAAGGCAATAGAATTAATAGGTAGGCAGATATCTACAATCAACAAAGGGAAATCCTGGCCATAGCAAGATCCTTGTACCCAACTTTCAAGGGAACTCCTTGCTGAATGTTTGGAGTTCTTCAGGGCTCTTGACTCTCAATTACTTAAACGTTTCTAAAGGAGTTTAAACTGTTTCTGTTTCTCTGGATTCAAATGGCACTGTTTACTTGATAAAAATGTATTTAGTCCTGTTTTTACTTTGCATTTAAATTGCCTTCCAAGCACATGGAGGAAAAATGAAGAAGGGATGCTCCAGAAATTCCTTACAAGGGAACACTGCCCTGGAAACACTGATTTTTCCTCTCTCTACCCATCCCTGGTACTCGGTGCCACTATCTCTGGCATTTGATAGTGTTCTCCATGCAAATGAAATCCTTAGGGTCTTTAGAAGTTTATCAAACAAGTGATATCAGCGTCTAAGGAAGTGGTGTGTGTCTAATTTAGTATCTGCACTGTCTATGGAAACTGCTGATAACAGAAGACAACTGTTATCCGGGAAAAAATGTAGGAGAGACTTCTTGCTATAGTCTGCACAAGTGTAGCTTTAATTACATCAATCAGTTGATAGGAGGATTTTGATGATGCAGCTACTATGCAAGCAACAGTAATTCCAGGCACTGCCAGGGGATACTTGAGAAGCTTAACGTCTGTCTAGGGTGAAGGCTAGTTGTGAATACAAAATTCAATCATACGAAATAACTGCGAACTTTTATAAGACTGAGTGTGAATGCAACAGGAACTCAGAGGCTGGAGGGATGAACCTGTGCTACAGGATTTTAGCATTTCCTTTGATACCAACAATCTACCTAAATCAAAAAAGTATTAATTCAACTTCTTTAGCTTCTTTCAACAATGACTTCAAATTACAAAACCATGCTGTTATAACATTTCCTTACACGAGAAAAGAGAAGTTTAACACTAGATGAAACTTTATTGTTCTGTTACCTCAGATTAAAAGAAAGAGGCAGTAAGAGTGGGGACAGACCAATTGATTTTTGCTCTTAAACATTTTCCTGTCTTTCAGCTGTTCTTCCTACTTGCTATAAATAAAAGGTGCTCCTTGACTTCTTATTCCAAGATGGCAAAATTTTGATTTTGTATTTCTATGTGTCTATACAAAAGGTCAGTTTTCATTCCAATCCCAAAGAAAGGTAATCCCAAAGAATGTTCAAACTACCGCACAATTGCACTCATCTCACACGCTAGTAAAGTAATGCTCAAAATTCTCCAAGCTAGGCTTCAGCAATACATGAACTGTGAACTTCCAAATGTCCAAGCTGGTTTTAGAAAAGGCAGAGGAACCAGAGATCAAATTGCCAACATCCGACGGATCATCAAAAAAAGCACGAGAATTCCAGAAAAACATCTGTTTCTGCTTTATTGACTATGCCAAAGCCTTT